GGGGGGGGGGTGAGGCGAGGTGACGGGCAAGGGCCGGCCCTCGGAGTCGCACATTGGGGTCCGAAAAAAGGCCTCCCCCCATCTTTCTCGGATGGGCAAGGGGGGGGGGGGCAGGCAGAAGGGGGCGAAAGCGGGGGGACATCCTAGTTGACAGACATGGTGGGCCGGTGTGCGGATGGTAGTTCAGACACAGGGGGCAACTGACCCCCTCGTCCTCTTGCCCCGCCCCTCGTCGCCCTTCGGGCGGCAGTGCTCGGCCAGCCCCCGCCCCCCCCCCCCAGGCATGCCCCAGGTCTGACCGACGCCGTTGCGGTGCCGCAACCACCGCGCGCTGGGTGTGGGTACACGTTTGCCATCTGGCAAGCTCTCTCCTCCTCGAGGGAGCAGAGATGCCGGCCTCTCCCGAGGGACGGAAACAAGGCATGTGTGTATGTGTGTTTACGGAGGGATGGCGGTCTGCCCCCCCCCCCCCTGCTCCCCGGCAAGTCACCCCTGGGTCTCCTCTGTTGCCCGCGTCTCCGTGATGCGCCCACTATCTGGTATTCCATCTTGGTGCGTGTCCTCGCACCGGGCGGCGGGGAACGCCTGCATCTTCTTTTGTGTGCCCCCACCCCCCCCCGCCTGCCCCTGGGTCCTGTTCTGTCGTGCCTGGGGAGCCTGTACGCTGGCAGGGAGACCTGTTCGCGCGCTTTCACAGGAAGACACGCCCGGAGGGGGGGGTGCGGGCGGGCGGGCGAAGGGCGGGCGGACGAAGGGCGAGGCCATTAGCCGCAGTAGCCAGGCGTTAGCACATGGGCGGAGACCTGGGGCGTGTGTCCCGGAGGGGACGGCAGAAAGGCGTACATCCGCGGTTGAAATGCCGGCCTCCGGTCCTTTCGGCGGCGTGCCGCCCCATGCCCCTCTACCTCCCCCCTCTGGAAGGGTGACCTGACGTTCGTCGGTGAGACGGGCGTGCACACACACACACACGCACACACCCGACTGCCAGCCGCGCCCCCCTGAGTGCCCAGCTCTTTGTAAGCAAGAGGCGTTTTTTGTCGTGTGCCCCTCCCCCCCGGCCCTCCGCCTGGAGTTTGTGGCGGTCGAGACATTCCGCCAGAGGTCGGGCTCCGGCGAAAGAATGCGGTCTTATCAAGCGCGGCGGTGTTACCTTGGCAAAAGACTCGGGGACCCGGGTGGGCGAGCAGGCAGCCCGACGGAGGGCGTGCACACTCGATGGATCTGCCCACACCTCGGGCCACCCCACCCCCCTCGCCGTTCGCACCATCACAGTGGCCCACCGCATCCCCCCCCCCAGAGGATGGTCCCGGCACGGGCCTGGTGGCCGGGCGCTGAAAAAAAAAGAAGAAGAAAACGCGCAGGCCGATCCTGAGTTGGGGGACGGACGAGCAAGGACCACCGGCAGGGGCCCGGCGACGGCGGACCGGTCATTTTTTCCGAAGCCTGACGAGTGCGCGGCCCAATTTTTGCCACACCACAGCAGGGCGCAGACGGCTCCAGGGAGTTCGCGGTGCACTATTATTTTTTCCCCGGTCCTGAGCACACGCGTCGTCGATGGCTGGCACAGGCGGGACTCTGGGAAAGCGCGCATGTATATCCCCCCCCCTCCCCCGGGGTTACCTGTGAGGGCCGGGGTTGATGGACGGGGCTTGGCGAAAAGGGCCTTGTCTCAGGGGTCCGTGATCGACACGTCATGCCTCGAGCCGGAAGGCACATGACCCATCCCGTGACCACCGCCCCATCGGTATTTACCCCTTTCCTCCCGCTGGCCCCGGCGTCGGTGGTTGGATCAAGAACCGAGTCTGCGCGAGAGGGGGGCGCCGGCCGGGGTGGGGGACGAAACACCGCTCTGCACTCGAGGGGGGGGGGCGGCCGCGGGGGAGTGGTCCTCGACCTCTCTGTAGGGAAGGGTGGGCAGGGTGGAGCGCGGCTGGCCAGAGCGCGAGAGGAAGGGCAGCCAGCCTGATTCCGGAGATCTGAGGGAAGAAGCGAGCTACCGGGGCCCTCACCCGGACAAGACACCGGCTTGATGGCGTGTGGAATGCATCAACGCCTCGTAAATACAGGGGGCGAGCGGGGGTGCTGGCTGCTGCGCCACGGCGCTGGACGTGTGTGCTTTTCCGCAGGAAGGGGCGCCGGCCGGGGACCGCCTTTGTTTGATCCAACGGGGCGGGTGGGTGAGCGAGCGGGGGCGGGGGAGCACGGGGCGACCTTGCTGTGCGAGGAGGATACTCCAGCGGGCGGAGAGACCGCCATACGGAAGGGTCTCAGAAGTATGTGTACGGGGAGAAGAGGCCGAGCTTATTGATTTCGGCCGGGGGCTCTTTGGGGGAAGGGGTCCAGGGGGGAACCACCGGCGGCGGCACTGGCGCCGGCGCCGGCGGTGGCGGCAGGGGGCGGAACGTGTTGGAGCGACTGTTTTTTCCCCCGGCCCGCAGGGCTGCCCGATTTGATGACGCTCGAGGAGACTCCCGAGGGAATGTGTACATTGTGTTGATGTGTTTTAGGCGCGCGACCAGATGATCGTACCCCGGTCCGGTCGCACGCCGGCCGCACAGGAAGGAGGGACCCGAAGACGGCTCCAGGCGGGCGCAGCGACAGAGCGGGGGGAGCCCTTCACCGGACGTGCTGCCCCCCCCCCCC